CACTGGTTAAGAACATGGGATCGCATTACAAGGAATACGTGACCATCCATGATATTCTCCAGTACACGGCCAGGCACAATCTCGCTGGAAGACAGGGTCATCCAGCGTCCAACAATTCGAATTCTGTCAACGATGACCGCGGAGACGAACAACGCATTGTCTGCAGCCGAGAAGCGGACTTGGGACATCAGATTGCTACCAGCATTCATCCCTGGGAGGTATCCCAGCGGCATGACGCGAGGATCGTAGGGCCAGTCAGGGACCCAGGACGGCAGGCAGGGAGTGAGGCGCCAGCGTGGATCCGCCAATGCTGTGAGTAGACCCAGATTACCACGGCGTAGGTGCAATAGAGCCACATCCAGGAAGACCTCAGGGATAGGTTTCTCGTCGTCCGGTACAATCTCCTTTGCATCTGTTTCAGAGCAGATCCCAAGAAGACCATAAACCTTGTCTCGTGGATTAGTGGCCTCGCTCGCGCTAGTGCGGACCAGCAGCGTTAGAAGTGGATGTCTTTGTGTTCGATACTCAATCTTGTGAATAGAAAGCTCGGTGACGAAGACAGTGTAATTGACGGGAAGACTGTGTCTGTGAATGAACCACGCAGCAGTCTCGAGCTGCTCCCAGGTGACAAACGAGGAACCACAAAAGAGCATCGCTCGATTGGCGAGCACCAATTCTTGAATTATCCAAATTCTCCGAAACCAAGGCCTCCTCCAGACTTTTTCGATTGCTTTCCAATCCGAGCTTTGAGGATTAGGAAGATTTCGATTGCGCAGCTCTTCAGCGTCTAGTGGTCGATCAGAAGGACTTCCATTGCCAGACTCGTTGACAGCAGCTTCATGGATCTGCTTGATGAGTCGGAATGCCGATGGGCTGTCTTCCGATGCTTCGCCTAGCCAAATGACGACCGATGTAGCACACTCGTATATTCTTCTCATCAAACCTACCTGTTGAGCCCGCTCTTGCAAACAGTCCTGATTGATACATACAGCGTCTACCCAGAGGACACGGGCTGTTTGTTCCGAGCGGATCCGGAGAAGGGCATGAGCTAGGTTCCGTGTTATGAGGAGCTGAGCTCCGTCACAGTGAATGGCAACATCTCGCACCTGTGATCCCCAAGTGTAAGATAAGGCCGAAAACACAACGCAGTGAGATAATCGGACCACGGCCATGGAGCATTCGACCGGAGAATCCCAACGTCCCGGAGGAACGGTTAGCACCCTTATCGCGTCACCTGCGGGTAGCTCTTTATATTCGTACGGAGGCGCATCACTGAGCTACACTATTAGCTGGTTCGAAGTCTCCTTGCCTACCCTGATACACAACGGCATTCATACTGTGAGGCAGTATTAGTCAAATCCGGACTATCTTCCCGTATAGTGTATAGCTTCTTCTCACGACGATATCGCCGGTAATTGATGTCGAACTTTCTTTGGGAGAAGTCAGCTATGCGATCTGGTCACGCAAGACAAACTGCAAGTACTTTGGGACAACGAAATCGCATAATCGCCACTTCCACACTTCGTACCAAGCCAAAGCAATGTGCATACGGTAGAGGAGATTGGTGAACCTCTGACGATCGCCTTGAAAAACGTCCTGGGCGGCTTTGGGATTACTTGGGTTTGAGGGTGAGTCCCGCTCCCTGAAGAATCGGAAAGATTCTTGTTGAGGGAGATACGAAAAACCCATGATTTTGGAGCAAGCAAGCAAGAAGCAACAATTGCAGTAGAATGTTAGATAGCAAAGCGGTAAACTTGCGTCAACTCCACAGCTGTATAAGTTCGGTATGAGGTGCAAAGGGTCAGACAGATAGGAGAGGACGAAACGCAATGTTGATATACCTACCGAGGAGGTGCTCATTATCTGCGCCGTCTGCAACTCGGTTGGGTGAGGCGGCTATTGAGCGAATCGATTGCGACGAAGTTGAACATGGGTCGGACACGTTTCTGCTTTGGTAAGTCGGAGTCCTCGACACGCCATCCTACGCACGGAGTACGTCTAGATCAATACTCCCCCTGGTGTCGCTTCTTTGCCTCAAGGCGTCTATCAGCTACCAAACCTTGGAAGGCAATGGCATAATATCATGACCGAGCCTGGGCTAAAAGAACACCATCAGAATATTGAAAAGAAGAGAAAATCTATCAGGGCAGCAGGAACAGCTGTGAATAGAGGAATTCAAAGAATGACAGTGACTTTGTTATTCTGGAGAATCATGAAGGTATTTGCGACGGTGTTGTGCACAAGTCCCTCGAACTGTACGCGCCCGGAGGACGATGCTTTCTTCGATAGGTACGCGCGCGCGCAGGATGGACCTCGTTACGATTGGCTTGAATGACCATGCTCGCTCGCTCATGATCCACGCGCGCTGGCCACTGTGGTTGTGGGGGAGAACAGACATGGCGGGAGATCCGTTGGCGTCCACGATCACCTGGGCGACAGTGCTCTCGACACGGGGACTCGGACGGTGGGCCTGACATTCGGCTGGCATCTCATCAGCTCGAAGGCGCGGCTGTCAGAAAGACATGACACGAGCGTCGAGAATCCAAGGTGATCGGGGCAGCAATGAGCCAGTGAGTGCCGGGGAGAGGGCCATGGCAGTTGGTGTGGTGAGAGAGTTGGTTGTGAGGTGGTTGGGCTGACCAGCCACCCGACGTCCATCACGAAACCCGATGACGGCAACCCGGCTTTAACGTCAACTCTGCGCGCCCGTTTCATCCTCGCTCGCCGTCTCTCGCTCTCACCTCTGTAATTATCACAGTCGCTCATTTCCCCCATCCCATCCTTCCGCCGTCGCAGCTCTGGCGGCCATTGTCATCAGCGCGCGGCTGTGAGACAAGCCACTCATCAGTCCTTCAGCCTCGAGGACGACCACGCTAGAAGACGACCGGCTGGCTGGGCATCAACACCAAGAAACGCCGCCTATACAACAAGACCTTCTATCCACCAAGCACCGGGGCATAGCTCGCAAAGCGCCTGCATCTAGGGCTTCGGTCGCCTCGTCGCGCACCGCAATGCCTCCACTGCCATCACTTCACGGCGGCGCACCCGCAGCCTCCATCCGCAGCCTGATGTCACTATTGCCGCGAATGCTGCACCCATCCGTCAAGCAATCCGCGTCAGGAACGGGACGCTCCCTTCTCGCATCCGCGCTTTCGCGCCGCCAATCCAGTTCCGACGGCTACATCCCGTTGGTGTACCAAGGCCTCAACTCGGGACCATCGCCCGGCGTCGTCGTCGGCATCGTGCTCGGCTCCGTCGCCGGTTTCCTCCTGCTCGTCTGGCTGCTGTACCAGCTCGCCAACTCGTCCGGCCGCAACAACATCCATGGCGACGAGGAGATCGTGGTGCGAGAGCGCCGACCCGGACGTTCGCGCCGCAGCGGCCGCACGCGCAGCTCGCGCACAGAGGTCCGCGAGATCAGCAGGAGTCCGAGGCGGGAGCGCATCGTGGTGGAGGAACGGCGCGGGCCGAGCATGCCGCCGCCGCGGCCGCGCAGCGTGCTGGTCGAGGAGAGGATCGAGAGGAGTAGGGAGAGGAGGGTCGAAGGCGACGATATCGTCGAGGTCATCGAGGAGCACAGTCCGGCGCCCCGTCGGCATCGAAGCAGGAGGGACAGCAGGGGCGGTTACAGGTCAGTCGATCCTGAGTTGTATGCTGGGGGCGACTACCCGCCGCGGCATATATCGAGAGGCCGCAGCGCCAGGGATTACGATTACGATTGAGACGGACGGACGGAGATGTATTAGATGGACTAGAGTCTGATGTGCTGTGTACAGATACTGAGAGAGAAAACTATACCCCGTACCCAATCGACGGAGCTTCCGGAGAAGCTGGATCCAGCAAACCTTCCCCTCGTCGCCCTTTCCGACTCTAATATTCACGGTTTTCATGGAGCGTTCACGACAGAGATACCTGGTGGCTTGTATGACACTCACGTTATGGCTTTATTGTGGCGCAACGGAGTTCCAGGCGTTCGCGTGTAACAAGAGGGATGCGCATTTGAAACCGGTGCACCAGCCGGCGCTGGACATGAAGACGACATGTCCTCGGAAGCGTCCGAGGAGAACCACGAAGGAGGATGAAACTTGTATATGATCAATCGCAGGCACCACCTCGGTTCCTAATATTCAATTGTCTTGCTCAACATGCGATTGACTCAAAGTTTCCCTGCTTTTACCCTGCCATCCTTCCCTTTCCCACCAGCAGTTTTCCACTCGTCTTGCCCTGAACTCTGATCGAACTCTCCATTCTCCCACATCCACCTCCGCGGCCCCACCCCCTAATCCAACCACGAGACCAAGCCTCGCACGCAGAAACACACTGAGCTCCGGGAAGGCCAAGGTCACCGTCAGCAATCAAAGAAATAAATGGAGAAATCCGGGTTTAATCTATTTTGAAGAAAAAAAAAAAGAATGAAAAAAGAAGAAAGGAAAGGGAAACCCAGGGTACTTTGTGGCTAAGCCCCTCTCACCTCTCCTTCTGACAACACAATCCACACTTCCAGCCGGATTACCTCTGCAGCCCGCCCGGAACGAACTATGCCCGACCATTCTAACTTATGTAGTCACATCTGCAGCGATATAATCGACCAGCAAAAGAAGGCAGTATCTAGGACTCGATTCGAAATCCAATGGAGTACTCTTCTCATATATCACCAGTCAGCTGTGCGTGTAGGCGACGGCTGGTGAACAGTAGCTGTAGCCGCCATGACATCCAACACACTCGCAACAACGACACGTAAAAGAAGGCACAGCGCACCATCCATCACCAACCTTCGATGGAACACACACAGACAGGGCATCAGTGGCAGCCGTACCCACCAGGCACACACTATTCTCACCCACAGCCGGTCCCTCCATGAATCAGACTGCACATCCAAGGGCCCGCGGACGGGGCCGCGGAGAGAAGGCAGGCAAAAAGAGAGAAAAAAAAAGATAAAAGTCTCAGGGTAAGCCAAAAAGAGAAACTCCAGGCTGTTGCTGGAACTGTTGGAGATGCTATGCCTCCTCCCTGGATCGAACAGAGGACCTCGTCATTACTAGTGACGCGCTCTACCACTGAGCTAAGAAGGCTGGTGATATCAAGTCTTTACTGAGGTGGTGGCTCAGGCGCTGGTTGATGGAGGGGAACCTCATTCCAGACTTTATAATCAGATAGACGTTACTTCACAGAGTCATCCAAGGCATACAACGACACATGAGATGCGGGACGTGGATTCAGTGCGTTGAAAATTTGACGGGGGTTGCTTTGTGGGTGGTGGAGTTTTCGGCGAGATAGGGGTCATGATATGGTCTGTGCTGGAGCTTGGGCTTTTCGTCTCAGGTGGCCTCTCCACCGTCCGTCTGCTGTTCATGAAGCAGGTCGACGACCCGTGAACGCCTCTTCGGACTTCAGACGTCCGCGTTGCGGACATTGTGGAATCATGGCAACACCGCCCAGTGTGAGAATCGGCCACCCGAATTATGGTACGCCACCAGCCGAAGGAACCCAGGTCAGGAACAATCACAAGGGCGCGTAAGACGACTATTGCCTCGGGAATTGATGCTCTCTACAACACCTTTCTACTACCCTGGGATTGACTCGTCATACAAACACAAGGGAAAAGTGGCGCGACTGCCCATGACCAAAAAACGAATAAACGGCATAAACAAGAGCCAACCTGGATGCCCGACGGAATGGAGTATCAAGGCCACACGACGAAATAGGGTTACGGCTTTTGCCCGTCCGAGGCGTGCGGATATGAGTTTGTGCTTATTGCAGAAAAGGGGAATATCGACGACGAGGGGGTTGGACGTGCAAGTAAGCTGTCCGGCATTCGCAAGAAGCATAAGAGAAGTAAGAGCAGCGAACGAATGAGACCGGAGGACCCCTTGATTCCAAACGGCTAAGCCATGAAACACATTCCCCGGTCGGACGTGACGTTCACCAGACTATTTCGAAGAGCAGGCACAGATGTCGCTACGCTGGACCCACGTGGGTCGAGTCGACTTAGTTATTCGTCTTCTCCTGGATCTTCTTCTTGGCCTCCTCCTTCTTGGGGCCCAGGTAATCGGCTACTTTCTGGAAGAAATCGGCAGTGATCTTGAGCTCCGTGCTGACGATGGCTTTGGCGGTGGTAATGAGACCCTTGCCGCCCGTCTTCTGGTACTCGTCGTCATACGTGCTGAAGACGTAGTTCTTGGTGGCGCCGACCACGCGCAGAGGCATGAGAGCGGCGTCCAGAACGCTGTCCTTGATCGTCTCCGTGTCCTGCTTGACGATGGGGAAGTGAGTCTCAACCTTCTCCAGGCCACTGTCGGCGAGCGAGTCGGCCTTGGAGATGTATGGGTGCAGCCACGAGTACGGGCCTTGCAGGTAGGGCATCACGGGCTTGCCAAACTTGTCGTAGGCGGCATTGGAGATCTCGAGCGACTTGGCACCGTACGGGTTGGTCTTGTAGGTGTTGACGAGGTCATGGACGACGGGGTAGGTGACCAAGTGCTGGTGGGACGTCAGCATGAATTGAAGAAAGGCAAGCGGTCGTGTGAGCGATGGAGAACAGCGTGGTGATGGCATTGGATGATGACTTACGTGGACGAAGTGGGAAGACGGCTTCTCGCCGTTGGTCATCGGTTCGCCCATTGTCGACGAGTTTGGAGCGTGGGGCATGTACCTGACGACGACGACGACGACGACGGTAAGCGGGGGGAAGATGGAGGGAGTGGCAGACGGATAAGCAGCACGTACAGAGTGTGGGTAGTGTGATGGGAGATGGTGTCGGACGATGGACGGAGCAGTGGGCGAGATCAGTTGTCTGGAGAGGGCAGCAGGATGGTCAGCAACGGACGGAATGGAGTAGCAAAGGGCGGCTCGCGCATTCCGCAATTCGGGTATGCTTACGATGGGGGAGTTTTGGGGATGGAGGAGGCAGTGGCAGTGGCAGTGATGGGCGATGGGTGATGAGTGATGGGTGATGGATGATGGGTGATGGGTGATGGGTGATGGGTGATGGGGGTGGTGGATTCGGGGATCAGGGTACACGGCAGGTGGGGATGGAGATGGTTTTGAGTCTTTCTGGGTGATGGATGGTTGAGTGAGAACAGCAAGAGCAACCAGCAGGCCAACCAGGCCAGGGAAGGGAAGACCAGACCTGGCCCAAGCTCTTTTGCATGTGAAAGGAAAGCGCACGGGCGTTACGTAGTTGTAGTGGCTCGCGCCTTCTCAAGCTGGCGATAAGCAAAAATTGCCGGGACAGGACACTGCGAACGGCCCACCTGCGCTCCTGCTGCCTGCACTCGCCATCCGCCATCCACTGACTCCATCCGTCCTGTCCTCACCCTCACACTCTCGCCCTCACTCTCGCCATCGCTCTCGCCATCACTCTCGCCATCACTCATCATCCTGTCTTTGCACGACACCACCACCATTATGCCTGCACTGTCGCACATCCTCCGTCTCATCAACGCCCTGTCCGCGGCCAACCCACTGCCCGCGGATTGCCCGAACAGTACATACGGTGTCGTATCTCCCCTGCCAGCTGCGAGTGTCCGCCTCCGCGCCAAACCAACATCCCATCCTCACTCACTCACTCGTCTCCTCACCGTCTCGCCTCACGTCTCGCCTCAGTGGAGACTCGGACAGTCGACGTGCCGCTGCCCTGCGATGCATCCCCGACCCGACTCTTCTGGGCAATTGGCGCAGACGCGCTTTCACCATGGCGCCTGTCCATCAACCAAGCCCCCCGGCCTGTGAGACGGCTGCGGCCTTGGCCATGTACTTTACACATGTGATGATTGCTGTGCCTGCCTGCCTGCCTGCCTGCCTGCCTGCCTGCCTGCCTTACCACCACCCTACGGCGCCCGCGCGCCTGTGATGCTGGACCGTGCCATTGAGCCTCGCTGCGTTGTTCAATGGCTGCTGCATCGCCGCGGCCAGGAAGATGTGCCTTCACTCGGGCTGCCCAGCTGACTTTGTACTCGACTTCATCGGAGTCAGGTCCCTCGCCGGTAACCTATGGGCGAAACAATAAAGGGCAACTCGGTCCGCGGAACCAGCACTGTACCAAACCTTTTCCATGCCTCACTTACCCTCAGATGGTGCCGCTTCTGCCATGGACGGCAAGCCAACTCTATCGCTTGCTAGACGCACACCTTATCGGTGACGACTTGATGGTGTTGTCGAGCTACGCTGCTGGGATCGCGATGCAGTGCAGACGGCGTCAGACCATTGGCATTGCAGTCGGCCATCAGTGAATGCGGTGCTGCCACCGAGCAGGCGCTGCAGACGACGGCGACAAGGATAACGAGCGCTCGCTGTCCGTACGCCACAGCTGCATCTCCTCCACTGCGTTGCAAATTGGCTTCGATGGGTGTGCAGCCGACGATCGACGGTCGTGAAGATAACACAGTGTGGATGCATCCACCTTCATCAAGCTTAGCAACCGAACTCAAAACCCATCGCTGCTGACTCGTCGACCGGGCAAATGGTTTGAGGCTCTCCCAGACTCCAACGGCCGACCGCTATCGGTATAAAGCCATCGAGAGATCCGGCAGCAACTGCAGCAGCTGCAGCGCGCTGAAGCAGAACCGCCACCTTCTTGGCCATCTTAACCTCGACCATCCCCCGGGACGGGTCTGCGGGCCGCACGCGAGCTTTCCCCTCCCCCATCATCCGATCCTGTGGCGACAACCCACCTCCGCGTCACCTCCCTTGTCACGAGCAGCGGAGCCAAACAATGCGTTACCTGATGTACCTACCAGGCACTTCTGACGGCACCGCGCTGTTAGACGGTGCTCCATTCCCCGGCCCAGGCCTCTGCGTAAGGGGCGCCCCGCATCCTTCGTCCTGCGCTTAGGATGCTGATCAGAGCATCCATTGCCCACCACTGGCTGCAACAGCTACTTGTCACAGCAGTGAGCATTGAATGGATTCCTACCTGCGTCATGCACCAATCCGTGTCGCTGCGTCAACAACACCAACGTCAGCGTGGTACATGACATTCCGGACTGTCCAGTCAGACGGGGGCAAAAATCCTAACCTCGCATCTCGTCCGAGGCAAGCAGTCCCGGGACAGCTCCACGAACAGCGCATGTGTGCGGAGTTGCCTGCATCCCTGGTGCCGCGCTTCTTTTCCTTTACTATGCAGATGTCTTTCCTGGATAGGAACGTCCTCCCGGCATCTGGGACCTGGTCATTTGCATCGAAGACTTTGGCGAGCGTCGGTACGTCGAATCTGCTTAGGTACTATCGGTGAGTATGGAACACTAGTTTCTCGAGGGACAGTACGTCGCGTGGCCCGTAGGAAACATCGGAATAAATGTCAACCTAGCCATGGAACGACTCCTGTTGTCAATTCAGATTAATCCTTTGCTCTATACTGCACAGTGAATTAGCATCTGATGTGATTGGGAACCTTAGTTGTCTCGTCCCGGAAGCTGCATGCGAGGCTGCCCATTGCTGCGGAGTTTTGCATATACGTGGTTGGGCCCGACAAGCTTTCAATCCTAGATTGGCGTACAATACATGGCGGACACGGCCCTGCCCCTGCCATTGCCCGAGTACTTTTGCCCCCTCATGAATCCGCGCTCTGCGTCACTTCTCACGGACCGCTTGGTGGAGCCTATGCAGAATTTCGATTTGGATTGTTATGTCCAGCTACACTTTTCGCCGGATAAGAAAGCCGTATCCCATCGCAATACCACATGTCCATAAGAAACGAGACGCTTAGAAACCTGTGCCGACAGTCAGCAAATTGGCCATTCCAACACCGTCTGGACAGGAAGGACTCACGCAGAGGGGTGAAGAACCACCTGTTCTTGCCGCTTTGGTATCTCTCCTCCAGGGCCTTCTTCACCGTCTTCTTGGCGTCCTCGCGCTGCGAAACCTCCTTGAAGGTGTCGTTGGTGACAACACCCTTCAGACCCTCAAGCTCCAGAGTGTAACGGGTGGGCATCAGGTGGTTGTAGTTGACGGTCTTGATGAAAGGCTTGACCTTGGAGCGCTTCTCCTGGCGCTTCTTCGACATGCGGCGGGTGACCTGGGACGGGTAACGCTCGATGCCGGCGACGAGGGCGTGGGGGAAGGGGTGCGACTT